TATTTTAAACTCAGAAATACAAACATCTCTAATCATGTCAATTTTTGTCTTTAATTTATTTTGATAGTGTTTGCAGAAATTTCTGTATGCTACTGTACAAACTATTTTCCATAATATTGTTTTTGCAAACAACTTTTTTTAAATGTTTTCTCTGGTTCAAAAAAACTTCAATTGTTTCAATGAAAAATGTTATCTGCGCCTTTTACAGACCGAACTTTGATTAGTTTCAATAAGAAAGTGATTGTTCTCATAGTGTCACACTAAATAAGTAATATTAACTTCAACTAGATCAAGCCAAACTGAAACAGGCAACTTTTTTCATTCAAAAAAGTTCCGAAAATTTTCTGTTTTTTTGATTAGCGCTTAAATTTTCGAAAACTGGGCTGAGTTGTTATATGAAGCGCCTGCATTTTTGGAACTTTCCTGAACTTTCTTTGTTAAAAACTTTTTCTTATATATTTAATTTGTTTATTGATCAGGTGTAATAAAACATTAGAGGGCAGGACATGAAAGACTCAGAAAAAATGCCTCACGAGGCCGATCTGAGTAGGGGAGGGGAAACGGGATAGTTTAGATATTTGACACAGGAAAGATGTAACCGGTAGAAAAAGAAAAATGGGGGAGCAAATATATCAATAACGGGTAATACTGAAAGAAATTAAGGATTCAAACTCGGAAAGTAGGAGAAATCGGGTAACTTGGGAAGTGGAAAAATAGTCAGAGGAGTAGGGCTGAACAATAATTAAGTTCATAGGGCGACGAGGGGAGGAGGAGTATTTGACATGTGCATTTGGGTTCGGAAAGTAGGCGGAGCCATTTAAAAATTTATAGAGAAGAATTAGTTGAGCTTTTATCCTACGATGTCGAATGGAGAACATATTGAGGATAGAGAGACGATCAGAATAGGAACTGTACTGGATATTACAACGCTGGAAAATACACTTAGAGAAAAATCTTAAGGGAGATTCTAGTTTTAGAGCAAGGCGAGAAGAAGGCGGAGGGGAATAAACTACAGAACAATATTCAAGAATCGGGATATATCTAGGTCATCAAACATCTTCAAATTAAAGAAAAACTGTTAGTGTGAATAGATATGGAAAAGTTGTAGATCTCTATGAAAAAATTGAGAATCGGGACATACACCTTATCTTTTTTTTGTTTTCCCAGTAGCACAAAAATCAATTGAAAACATTCTAATGCAATTCTAAAAAAACTTTATTAAACGTTGAAATAAATGTAAGTTTCATCGAATGGAAAAATTGCAATTTTAATGGAGGAATGTTCAAAGAATTAATTCAAAATATAATTCACAAACAAGTGAATGATTTGAAACCGAAACAATTAGCATTCAAAATTTTTGGACCACTAAAACTCTTACAGTTACTACCAAGTGATAAAAATAGTTGTAGCAGACTTTCTTTGATTCTTACAATTTAGAAATTTTTCAATTCCATCTGACTATGAAACATAAGAAAAAAACCTTGCACTTTGTGCTCAATTACCTCGGTTGCTTTGAGAGATATTGAAGTTTGTCAACTAATACAATTTTTAGGATATTGAGGTAAACATTTTATCAGTTAACAAATTTAAGATACCTCTTATGTGAGCCGAGATAATTGAAGTCAAAGCGCAAGTATATGTAAGAGTGGAGTTATTGGAAGGATTAATTAACGATTTTAGAGCAATAGTTCCAAAATAACACATACTTATTGAAACTTTAGTTTTTTTTTAGAGGAATCTGAAAATTTTCAATGTTTCAAAGTCTTGTTGAATAATTTTATTTTTGAGTATTAATTACTAATCGGCAGAAAGAGTTGGCTTTTCAACAAAGAATAATATATTTCAAACCATTGATATTGAGGTCAAATTTAAGATTGAAAATCCCACAACAATTCTTTTTTTTTCAAAAAAAGATGACTAACAAAAAAGTTGCGAGTCGATCTATGTATTTTAATCCTCTAGTTTTGTTGCCTCTATTTCTCTGCTCCCTCTTTTCATTTTTTATTTCTAACCCCAACAAAACTCCAGCATCACCTTTTTTCCCAAAAACTCATACTTCCCCTTTTTCGAAAATTCTTATCTCCCACCCAAAAACATCACTCCTTAAGTACATTCATGTTATCAAACTGTTTATATGCTCTTCTCTCTTTTTCCCTAATTCTCTCTTTATTTGAGCTCTCTCCTTCTCTTTCTTCACTTTCTTTCTTGTTCGGTATTTGTATAGAGAGACCAGAACCAGAATATTATATGTTATACGTGGCAGGAAATTTGGCTTAACACCTTTTTTGCTACAGTTTTTCTTTTGATATCTAGGTCTTGATAAATTGATAAGGTGCTGACAAATAAATAATCAAATTTGGGGGCTTCTAAAAATTATGAAATTCCGAGCTAAAAATCCCTTTCCCGTCCTTGTGGGTTCTAATTACTAAACTAATTAGATAATTAACTAATCAATTTTGTTTTCAGTTTCGAAAAATGACGTTAGGAGGAGTGACGAGGCAGAAAATGACGAATGGAATCGAGATTGATAGGCAGAATGAGCAGAGTTCAAATCCGGTAAGTTGATTTTTTTTTCAAAAAGAACGTAGTAAAGAAAAAACAGAAATCAGTATTTGAAAAGTTGCTGAAACAGAAGAAAAAATTTGCCGACGAAAATGTGCTCTAATGAGAAAAGATAATTTTGAGTTTTTTTCTCTATAATATAAAGGAAATATATAACTTTTCAGAACGTAAAAAAATTGGGTGAAAATGGAAATTTGAAAAAAAAAATCATTGTCAAATAATGAATAAAAAATACTGCTTCAAAATCTCCTTAAAATTAATTTACATATGGATTTCCATTTCTGATACTTCAACGACTGTCGATTTTTTTTGGTTCATTTTTACAAAGAAGTATGTAGATTCATGAAAAAATAAAACAAAATTCAAAAAAATCCTAAAATAGGAGAAGCACATCGAAAAAGGAAAATACTATCCAGTGGCTGGAAGGCCGAGTATGCGTTTCCTAGACCACGGCCAGAAAGTTTTCTAAATTTACTACCATTTTTTCCTATAATCTTCAATTTTGGGAATATTCCATTTTAAACCCCCCCCCCCCCCATTACCTATTCGGTTTTGACCCCCCTGGAGAAGACGTTGGAAAAGCCCCCCACCAACAGGAATTCAAGATATAAACAGTACCCCCCACATTTCATTATAACCACCCACCCTCATCAACTGGAAAAAAGGTTTAGGCAAAAACGGGCGGAAGTCAAAAAGATTCCAATAAAGACCCCCGTCATTCCAATATGTCACCCCACCTCGGGTGGGGGCTATAATATTGTTTTTACTTGGCTGAGTATTTAACATACGCATCCAAATTAAGGCGGGAAAGTTCATTTTTATCTAGAAATTTTCATTCATACCTAAATTCAGTCGTTTGAACCCCGACCTATTCCTAAGATTTCAATAAATCACCCCTCTATTCCAATGAGACCCCCCATGTGAGTTTTCAATCAAAAGAACAAAAAAAACGGCTGAATACCAAAGGAGCTAATCAAAGGGGCACTTTAATTAGAAGGGGTACTTCAAATAGAGGGGCCCTTCAAATAGAGGGAGCACTTCTATTTTCCGTGAGGTCTCTAGGGGGGCACTTCAATTAGAGGGACCCTACAATTTCAGGGGCCCTTCTAATACAGGTTTTACGGTAAACCCATTTATTTTTTATGAAAATATTTGTTTCTAATCTGTACGAGGGGACTAGAGTATTATGTATTCTGAATGTTTGATTTTGATATGGAAAGTTTGCAACATAATTTTGAGAGCTGGTTGATTATAAACAACAAAGTTTTATAAACTTCAATGTTTCACATCATCTATATATGTGATAATAATAGAACAGCATAATAAGCTTTAATTTCTTAAAGTTCAAAAAAAATTTCAGAGATTTAGAATACTTGAAGGTTGAAAAAAGCACATATTCATTTTTTAAATGATTCATAACCGGTTTCATGATATCCATATAGTATTTCAAACATTTTTCTCTTTATTATTAAAAATCCACCATAGGTAATCGAAACTGAATACGCTAAACTCTGGAATGAAACTGATATAATATGAATAAGCTGAGTATTTGTAGCAATCTTGTTTTCAAAAAATGTTTATAAATAATGCATTGATTTAATTGTCGAGATTGCTATTTATGACCAAAATTTGAAACAGTGAAAAAACGGGAAACCTTCAATATTTGACCCACAAGGTCTTCAAATTGAACACAATTTTTTTTCAAACTTCAATAGTCCAAATGGATCCTGCCTAGTTTAGAGTGATTCTAAATCAAAAACCTGAAAATTGAAAAATCCCTTGTCGCTTCAAAGTTTAAATCTAACAAAGCAAAACAAGAAGCAAAATTTGATTTTCTGTTGCATAATCTGAATAATTTCTGTTGCATAATCTGAATAATTGTGGAGCTCCCAATTGCAAATAATCCTACAAAGTAAAAATCGTTACATTCATTTCCGTAACTTGGACCATGCCAGAAATAATATTATTGGAATTCTTTAACATAATTTTCTGGAAAAGTTGAACTTGGCTGAGCTACGCCGGTGCAAATGTTCATTCATGGACGGATAGGGGTACGATAGTGGAAGTGTAAGGAGCAAAAATACATACACACCTTCAAGACAGTCAAAGACTAAACTTTCCTTATTAGTGACCCACTTAAAAAGTCCTTCTTTTATACTCGAATTTCCTAAAACCGATTGAAAATGGCCTTCTTCCGAATACTCTCATCACCATTAGCACCGGCACGAGTCTTCCTTCTCTAATTCTCTCATCTCTTCATACTCTCTCAATTCACCTTTAAAACGGCCCCTGTCGCGTCATCATTTCTGTGTTTGCGCTCTTTTTCTCTACTCTTTTTGTACATCTATATATTCTCTTTTGTACTTTTTTTGAATCACAAAGAAAAATATTCGTGGCAGGCCTTTTCAAAACATATCTCCCCCTCCCTTTAACTGAAAATGCGGGTATCTTTGATTCGAAACCTAGTGATTTTCTATCAAATGAATAATAGTGAACGGTGGAATGAGTTGCAAAAGATTACGGTAATAAATGAAACAGCAAGTACGCTCTATTGAACTCCAATTTTCGAAAATTTCAGATTATCCGAGTGGTATGCTCCGTTCAACTACTCTCCATGATCTCTGTAACTGCACATTCTACAGCCATGCCGTTTTTGGTTAGGATAGCGAATAGGGTGAGAGAGATAGAGAGATTTTGAGAAATGTGAGAAGTTTCATTTTCAGACACATTTCCTTCCCACAACTTCTGTTTTCATGATGGAAGTGTTGAAATTGATATTTTGTTTGGTTATTACACTATTCAAAACGGGAAGTGTTAAAGGGTAAGTTTTATTTTTGTGTGTCAGTGCACATCGATGTTTACACCATAATACCATTTATGAGCCCGTGTAGCTCAGCCGGAGACTACTGTTAGAAAAATTGTTTTTTTTCCTATCCATTCTTTTTTTTTTGACCACTCCCGAAAAATTGAAAAGTAGTTAATTTTATCTAGAAAGTTTGAAAACTCTAAAAATGCGAAAAAATCAATCAATCGATAGTTTTGATAATCATTCTTACAATAAATGAATGAAGTTGCGTCTCTTTCTCTGTGGATTTGTCCACACATTTTTGAAAATCTTGAAAATTTAATGGGGTTATTCAGGGAGTCGGCAAAAAAGGAAAAAAAAAACTCCGCCAAAACTCGGAGAGTGTTCGAATCTGGCTGAAACTTTGGGGAAAACTGGATAAAACTTGCCAAAGTTTGGGGTCAAAATATCAACTTTGAAAATTTGT